TGCGTGTATGAACGAGTTATACAGAGAGAGAGAGAGAGAGAGAGAGAGAGAGAGAGAGAAATAGATAGATAGATAAATAGATAGATAGACAGATGGAAGGGCGGAAGGAAGGGAGGAGAATAGTATCGATAAAGTGTTAAAGGAGGGGGAGAAAGAAGAGGGGGGAAGCAAGAACGACCAAGCTAAAAATGAATTTGTAAGGGAATATAATTTTTTTTATTTATATATATTTACATATATAAAGTGCAGCGAAAAATATTTGTATACTACTTGTTTCGCTTTAATATGGTACAATTTACATGGAGACATAAAAAGTTACACTAATAATATCGATTAAATGTCTTATTATTGAACAAAACTAACCGTTTTGCGATTGTTATTTTTGATTATTAACACTGTAATACATGCGCATATAAGTGTCAAGATAGAGACAAGGAGAATATGAAATGACGTTGAAAGTTTGTATTAAAAAGAAATTGATATTTCAAAGTGAAGTTGTTATTTATTTCATTATCCTTATTTATTCTTTATTAAATCCTTAGATTTTTCATATTTAACATTAGCATGATACTTGCAATTTCTAAATGTTTTAAAAATACTTAACAAAATGTGTATGCATATGTATCTGTGTATATATATATATATATATATATATATATATATATATATAAGTAATGGCTTTTTATTAGGAAGTTGATTTTTTAGAGATTTATTAGAATCAATTTAATATAGTTAATACAAGATATACAGTCTCCATTTTGTGAATTATTATAAAATTAGTAAAAAATAATATTAAAATTAACAATCTTAAACGTTAAAATAAAAAAAACTTCCTATTTAAACTATTTTTTGTTTTTAATAACTTTTAAATATTATTTATTATCTGTACTCTAACAACAATCATATTGACTTAATTTTTTTTGTTGATTCATTTTTCATTTTTTTTTTTTTTTTAACAAAAAAATACAATTTTTCAATAACTAAGAATTCCTTGATTTGGTTAATTCTAAAAGTAAGTATATATTTAATACGTTATAGTGGATACCGATGCATTATAAAAATAAATATAATTAAAAAGTTATAATAACATTTAAAAATTTTCATATTTAATATACGAAGATTTTGGCACGATTGAAACAATATTCTTATAAATTTATGGAAATAATGTTTAACATTGACAATAGAAGATTTTATTTTAAAAAATACAATTCAATAAAATAATTTAGTAACATTCAATAAATAAATAAATAATTTTTATAACGAATTTTTAGATTGATTTGTACGTGAAAAGAGCGTAAATTCATTTTCACCAGTAGCATGTATTTTACAAAATTTTATGAGACCATTTTTTGTTGAGCCATTCAAATGGATTTATTTCGTTTTCATTCCGCCTAATAATAATTAACGTTGACTAAGTCGTTTATGCAAATTGGTTTTAATTTCAAGCGTTTCAATTATATACAGTAAAAAAATATGTAACATCGGATAAAAAGGTATGAATAATTAAACAAAATTTAGTAAAATAACATGGTTGTATATAAAGATAAAAAAAAAAAAAAAAAAAAAAAAAAATTAAAATATCTATAAACATGTGTTGTGCCCTAAATGTCAAATATATAATTTCCTTCTTGTTTATTTAAACTTAATAGTAGTAATAAAGAACACTGTAACGTATCAAATGATCACATTGGAATGTATTGGTAATTTTTCGAAATACACTAATGACAAGAGACTTAACAACTTAAAAAATCTTTCTTAAGTATTATCGATATATTAGATATATCTTTTTGACCATAGTTTTATAATCCTAAATACTTATTTCTAATTACAATTTTTTATTTTTTCAGACGTTTAATACATTTTGTTTTTTATACTATTATTCATAATATTATTAAAAATTGACATTCTAATCATAATGAATACGAGCAAATTAATAATTTTTTCTTTCTTCTTAAATATTATATTTATATTCTATTCTATTCTATTCTATTGTAATAGTGTATTTGTTTATGAAAATTTAATCTAAACAAATTCATAGAAATGTCATCATCATCATCATTACTGTTCACTAGATGATTATTTTTAGATTTTTATTTTGTTTATAATTTTTCTTTAATATGGCGAATCACAAATCTCTACATAAATAATTTTCTGTATAAACAAGTTGTTGTCATACTTTCTATAATATGTGACTTTTCAAACATTGTTGTTTCAAATTCAATTTTTGCGTATACTACCTCAAGTTAGCTAAATTTCCAGACATCCTTTGTTAAATACAATGACACTTTCTTGTTGTGCTAGGAAAAGCAGTTAATTACTTTTGCAATTGTAGTTTATATGACAATTAAAATGATGAGATTTTACATTTAAACTTTTATACTTAATATAACATTTCAACCATTCAAAGTTCATATTCTTTCATTATATATGAATAGGCCAAAAGAAATGTAATGTAATATCGTATGCAAAATGCAAGTAAGCCGAGGATAAATTTCAGTATCGTATTTTACAGAACGACTGAAGCAAGTTTTGAGCTTTTCCGGTAGCTAGATTATAAAAGAAACGATGAGACAAGGACAACGATTCTATTCTCTCATGGTAATATAAAAAAATTTCGAGCTGTAAAGGGATTCGTAATCTCCAAAGAATTAAAACTGTGCACGAGAAAAAATCGACGTACCTTAACCGTTTGAACAATTAAGCACAACAATCTCTGAAAGCAGTCTTTGATGAGCTTTCAACTAGTGAGCTCAAACGATTTTCCAAAGATGTGGAGCGTCGAGCGAATTGGAAAATCGACCGACTCTGACGGGAACCCAGCGGCTCTTTAACAGCGAACAGCGGCTACATTAGAATAGAGAATGTAGAAATGGAAATGCATCGCGCCGATGTTTAGGCTCTTCAACGATAAACTCTTCAACGCTCAACGCTAAGCTCCTCAACGCTCGTAAAGTGTGCCCGATTGCGGCGACTGAGGCTTGAGGTTCTGTGGCCAGTTGCTCGCCGTGTGCCTCACGTATCCCGGGTCGTTGGGCGAAATGGGCGTCGACTTTGGACCGCCGCTAGTGCCGGTGATAGTCTGCGTTGCCGTAGTCATCGTCGACGTTCTCAGCTCGTCGAAACATTCCTCCAGCATCTCCATCTCGTCCCGGATGACGCGATGCTGATGGTGGTGGCGATGGGGCTCGCCTTGCGGCCGATATCCGCGCGAACGATGCGGATCGCCGAAGAATACGTCGCGCTGCTTCTTTAAGATTCCTGGGGAAGAGCCGCGCATTCGCGTGGGCACGTTGTCATACTGACTTGAATCGGAATACCTGCAAGCAATCTTGCCCCTGCATGTCGGCGAGCATGTACGAGCCGAGAGGAAAGAGTCGGGTAGAAGAAGGCAAGAAGCGTTTTTGTTGTCAGTTTAATCGCGTAGGAGAGGAGTCGAAAGATTCGCAGCATCTACACTTGACAATATGCGTATGCGCGCGCTTGGGCTTCGAGATGTTGAAGGAAGATCGAGAATGACTTTTATGGCGAAGAAAACGAAGGCATTATTGTGAAAAAAAAAAATTAAAAAAAAAAAAACATTAATCATTTTATTAGCGAAAGTACCTATTGCCGGTAATGTCATAAGGAGTTGCTTTTACTTTTAATATACAATCGTTATTTCAATGATAAAACAGTAAATGAAAAAACAGACGAACGAACGAAGAAAAAATGTAATTTATTTCTTATATATCGATATGAAATAATTGAATACTTTTGTACACGTAAAACATAAAAAAAAAAAAAAAAGAAGAAGAAAAAAAAATACAACCCGTATGGGAATAAATTTGAATAAAATACGACCTTCCGTCTTGTGTAAAGAGTTTAAATATTGTAATAACAATGAAAAGACAATTCTCACAATGTTCCTACGACATCGTTTACCAGCGACACAAAGCACAAAACAAATACTAACGGACAGTGTACGCGATCTCTACTTCTACCAGATTTTTTGCGTTAAAGCGTGAGCGAAAGCGTATTCCCAATACTACGACAGTCAATTAAAACCAACAAACCCTGATAATTAGCCTCGTCCCTGGACTTGCCTGTAATTATCGTATCCTCGCTCGACGTCCCGATCTACTTGCATTATCCTCACACCAGGATTGACGACCTTTCCAAACTTGGGCGGCTCGCCGTTGGTCGGGAATGGCGGGATACTGTCCACCTCATCCACCGGTCTATGGTACATGTCCTCGTTCCTGTAATAACCGTTTGACTTCCTGGGCGTCTCGTCCCGATCCCGATCCCGATTTCTCTACGACAGCCAATTGAAAAATGCTTTGATCGCCTCTAATCGCCAAATTAAATCCGTTCGAAGATTTAAAATTAGCCTCGACATCCGCAAGGTCTACTCTTTGTCGCGAGATGCGTCATCGAAGGCCGACGCTTAAGATTATTAAAACTGCTGTTAAATGGAGATCGGCACCTCTATAGTGAGACAGTCACTGTCTCTTCTACCGCTCCCACAAACCTCATTACAATGACAAAGCCGTACGGCTCCTAATTGACGGTCAAAACACTCATACAATGCGCGAATGCGATAATTAATTGCCAGGCCACGCCTCTTCTCAGCTTTCGATCCATCAAGTGCAAAGGAAACAGGGATAACTCCTTACCGTCGACTTGCCCCGCCCTCCTCGCCCGTTCTCGATGTTTTGGGCATATTCGCGCATCTGGCGCTCGGCCCTCTCGAGCCTATGCTCCCGATCGTCCTCTTCCTCCTCCTCCACCATCTTCACCACCCTCGACTCATCATCCACCGCCTTTTGCCGCAATTCGCTCGCGCTCGTCCGCTTCTCCGTCATCTCGGGCGTGGGCGGCTGCCAGAGGCTCGGCTGCGGCTCCTTCTCGTTCACCGTCATCGTCGTCGTCGTCACGTAGTGCTTGGCTGCAATCAGAAAGCAGCCCCGCAATATGTGCAACCCGGAGCTTCTTTATCACGGGCTCATCGACGCTCAACGCCCCGCTGATTACTTTATAATGTGGCTGCGTTTCGTTTGCTTTCTCGTTCGTAGCAACGGGGCGACGGCAATCGGCGTTGAGAGTTGAAGTGAGAAATCAATGCGACTTGCTTATGGGAAGATCGAATCGACTAAATCCCGGCCGTGTGATTTTACATCGATTTAGCGTGATATGGAAGGCCGACAGCTCGTTTGCCGCGATTTCATAAAATCAAGTGAAAAACTTATCCAGAAGTATTTAGCTCGCAAGACCGATGCTTATTTTATCCTTGAATGGAGTAGAAAATAGTATTAGATAACTAATATAATTTTAATCGCATATTCGCGCAAACGTACGGGGAATTATGCGAGTCGTTTACATATATAATATTGCTGCACCGCATTACGCTCGTCCTATGTTATGTTAATAAGGACAGAATAGTTCTCATGTTCAATAACAGTAAGCCAGTCAACATTCTTTCTCAATCATTCCTTTTTGTACTTCTGTAACAACTAGGTATCTATCTCAATTGCTAGTTTTTAGGTCAAAATGGCCTATACCGTATTCATTATCCGTTATATCAATTTCCCGTTTAAATTTAGGTTACGATGTATTTGCTGGATTTCATACATGTATATATATATATATATATCTGCGTAAAAGTTAAATAAGCATTATTTTTACACACGACTGTATGTACAAAAATCACGACCTTGCGCGCTTTATACATAATAAGGTCAGAAGCGTGCGAAAACATGATTTTTATGCTATAAAATAAATATTCGTCGGCTTACGTTTACCTTAAAAATAAATTATAATCCTAAGTAAAATAAAGTAATAAACTTTATCAAATACACTTTTCTTCGTAAAGTTCGAAAGAAAAAAATACAAATTAGGTAATTGAATCATTAATAAATTTAAAGTTGTACGGTTGTATTCCCATATGAAATATATATATATATATATATATATATTTTTTTTTTTTTTTTTTTTTTTTTTTTTTTTAAGTACATTTGTCGATTATGGCATGAATAAATATTCGTACAAATATGTGCAATTAACTTCGTAATGTCTACTTTATTTCATAAAATAGAAATCTCAACGAAACATACGTTTATTTACGCACAGTGTATTTCTAGGGTACATGATTGTTCAATTCATTTAATTAAATTGAGGCTTATCTTTCTTCTTTATACTTAATTGCTAATTCATAAAAAATATGCACGAGTATGTATATAATTTTTTTTTATACTGTCACCTTTAATTGTTTACTTCCTACGTAATTGTTAATCATGATTGATAATATACAATGTATCACAATATTAATTATATAGCTTTGTACACTTAAGAAAAAAAAACAATGGCCAGTACTCAGCACACTCTTACACTTTATTAAATCAGCCATTTACATAATAAAAATCATAATTTTAATACGATGAAATAACTTATTCGTAACGAGGAAAATTTGAAAAAATTACACTTTCACCAAACACGTAAATTCGCTACTTCAAGCTCAATGTAATATCAACATTAAATTTAAGAGTCAATATTTTTCATACACGCTGTACGTGATAATTGACGAAAGGATAAATTTCACGGCGAAAAAGTAAACTAAAGGAAGCCTTTATGCCTAATGACAAAACCGCTCATTTGGAGAGCATTAAGAGAAATGGAGAATCTTAAGGCCGTTGGAAACAATGAAGCATAACGTCGCGTAATGAAGCTCTCGTTCATAAATTTTATGGCGTTTCACTTTGTTAGCACCGAACACGCCGCTAATAAAATAAAATGAAAACTACGTAGAACTTGGTAGTAATTGCAGAAACCCTATTTTTTTGTTTTCGAAGCAAATAATGTTCAATTTTGGTTCAATGTTAAATATACGTATGTTGATATCCATTAATGAATTATTATAGACAAATAATAAATTTTAATTGCTTCATGGTGGCCATTGAAATGATTATTTACAGAAATTTTATTGCAAAACAAATAAATCTTTGTCAGCTTAGTAACTTAAATAAATTTCCATCGATCTCTGCTGCTACAGTCAAGAAATAATCCGCAAGTTTAATTATCAACGATTATTAATTAATAACTACGAGTTGAATGAAATGCAATACTTGTGCCTTCTGTTAGGGATATAAAAATATTAAGAGAATTATAAGTAATATTATGAAGAAAGTTATATTTCAAATCAATATTGCTGTTTTCGATGTGTAATTAAATTTTTAAGCATTAATATTTTTAAAGACTAATCAGTTTATCATTATAACATATAAATAATTGTCACTGTATATAATTTTAACTCATAAATACTTGTTAAATAATGTCTTGATAATTTAATAATAACAATTTGTTTATTATTATAACCAAAGCATATGCTATTTGCAATGTATTTTCGTACATTACCGATTATTTAATTTTCTCGTATTTGACATTTTATCGAGAACTTTATGTACACGATACATTTTTTATGAATTATTCAATAACTTTACAACACGAATTTATAGAACGGAAAGGACATTACGTAGAAGAATAGTATTAATTTTTTAAATCAACTTATTTACGAAAATCATTAAAGTACTCTTGTATTTATAGTTTTAGAGTTTTCGAATGGTTCAATAGCATTTTATAAATTTCTGTGAAGCTACATACAAAGAAAGCATCGAGAGACAATTGTTAAGCACACAAAGAACGTTTTTCAATTTAGACACCAGTAATTCCGAAACTTCTGCTGATAGCATTGTAAAATTTATTGACAATTTTCGAAAATTAAATAAACAAAAAAAAAAAAAAAGAAAGAAAGAAAAACAAAAACACCTACTTGATAAGAGAATACATAAAGATAATATTTCATTTTATTTATACTCTGAGGAAAGTGTCAAAACTATTGTGCCTCCATTTGGAAATGAGCACAATGGCCACCACGAACAGCTAAATTGTTGAGGGAAATATGTACGAATGAAAATATTGAGCCAAACGTCAATTTTGATTTGTAAAATATTCTTTAATTACACACAATCTACATTTCCTTACAGAGATTTTCCATATTAAAACTTACGTCACGATTATATCAATTCAATAATTTTCAATGCGCATTATAAGCAGACGAATGAATGGGCGCTGAGGTGAGTGCGGGTTCGCGACGCAACAACAAAAAACAAACAAAAACAAAAACAAAAATAAAACCAACGGGAAAACAATAAATGAGAAAGGGTGTAGTAGAGGCTCGCATTTTCAAAATTCCAAGAATTACGACAGACCTTGCTCCTTGTTGGCGCTGGTCTGCGTGCCGTCGTGTTTCTTCTTGCCAAACACGGGACTCATGAGCAAGTCGGCGATGAAGACGAGGGCGGTGACGAGGCAGAGGACACCGAGGACCGCGGCATTGTCGATGAGATCACCGGGGACGCTATCGATCGATGCAAGCGACAGGGCGCCGACAATGCCGAACAGGATGATACCCAAGCCCAGCAGGAACACCTCCTTCTCGAGCAAATTTGATGGTATCCGTGTGTGTGTGTGTGTGTGTGTGGATGATTTCATGGGGAGCCGCGCACGATGATCCAACGCCGATACAGAGATCGAAATTTTGTAAACGTACGATTAATTGTTTGTTGATAATTGAGTGTGAATTAGTGGAGGCGGAGGGAGTTAAAGAGCATTTACAGTGAGAGCGATTGTTAGTAGTATTAGTGCATTGGAATATTTGTCTTTGCGTACTTTTGACAATAAGTTTAACGTATTTTGGGCAAAATATTTTTGCATATTAGCTTTTTCATAAAAACTTTCAACTATTCTCAATCGCGTAGTCAAAGATTTTCCGACTTACAAACAGGAACTTACGTTATAATCAATTAGAATTCATTCTGTTTGAAATTTGCAAATAATGGCAAATAAGATGACGTAATTTACGGCTACAAAAATTAAATAATCTTACATTAAAATGTGATTTAATTAATTTTAATTTAGGCAACACTTTAATTATGCTGTTTACACAGTTGTACCCGAACACGATTGCTTATCATATAGTTATTAAATTAAAATAAGTAACTACAATATTTTCTTAAAATAAATCCATCCATATTTCTCTCACTTTTATTTTTGTACAATACCAACATGAAGATAAGTATTCTGATTATCGTAAACAATAGTTTATTCATTGCATAATGCTAGACATTAAATTATTAGGGTAAAAATTATACCTTTCTAACATAATGTTTTGGAATTATAACTACATATGACTATACTATAACCGTGTGTATATAATAATTTACGTGATTATAAACAATAACAGCAGAGGCAATTAATTAAAAATAAGAAATTAAATATAATATGTTGATACGTATTAATTATTATATTATGACATTAAATTACGAAATTTTAGTTTCGTTTAACATTCATCGTATTTGTTTATTCATTATTCTTATCGGCATTAAATAAATTTAATATACATTTTAGTTTATATTTAGTTTATATTTTAAAGAGGACATAGCATTGTTGAAAAATGTACTGATATTTGCATTAAAATATGCCCCCCACGTCCATTACTCAATTATGAATTAAGTTTCTCAACACAACTCCCCATTATAGTTTTAATGAAAATTAAGATAAAGATTTTTATCATTTAACATTGAATATATCATTTCAAAGAAAATGTGTAACAATACCTTCTATATAACATGCTTTTAATATAAATTTTTATTAATCGTCTTATTAATGTGTAAATTTATAACATTGATATCAAGAAGATGATACGTAAACTAATTTCGTGATGAAATTTCCTATCAAAGAGAATACATGTATATTAAATTCTATGGCACGCTCGCGAAAACTATAAAAAAAAAACAAACAAAAAAACAAAAAAAAAACAAAAAAAAACAAAAAAAACAACAAAAAAAACAAAAAAAAACACCTAAACGCGTTTTTTCTTCTTCGAATGGTGCCCTTTATTAAATAGCAAATTCGAAAATGAATGAAAATGTCTAAACTATGGATTCATTTATTTAATCGGCGACGTCCTTGTAACCAAATTATTATCTTATAACATCACGAAGATTATCACATGTAAATGTACTTTTGACAAAGGTTTTTGCTTATTTTCGGTTTGCACGACTACCCAAAACGATGATGCGATCGTACGCTCTAGCGCACACAAGGAAGTGGATTGCCTTCGAAATAATCACTTCCATAACCTTAGGTACAATTAGTCGAAAAGGAGAGTGAGCAGGATGGGAGGGGCGGGGGAGGAGAGAAGCGCGATAGGAAGATAGGAGTGATGGAAAGAAGAGAAACTCTTGGCTCGATCGCGCGCGCACCGTCAGAATAATAATAATCGAGACCTAGTTTATGAGTCATGAGAAAAGTGTACCTGTCGCATAAAACTGCGACGTCGCAACGGCGTTCATGCGCGCTGTTAATAAATACGCAAGCGAGTGCGTTAAAGTGATTACCGCGCCTTGCTCCGTTTCCGAGGGCAAAAACTCGAAAGATAAAGAGTCGAAAGATGTAAAAAAGACTCACGACCTTGCAATTTCTCAATGTCGAGAGGCGTTCGCGAGTTACGTCGCGAGTATTCTCACGCTTATGATGATGATGATGATGATGATGATGATGATGATGATGATGCTGGTCGAGAGCGACCCATTTTCTGCTGAATTATTCTCATGTTTGCTCACGCATAATCTTTATTGTCGGCGATAGCAATACACTTTTGTCGCGCGTCAATATTATTCCTTTGGCTACTTTGAAATTTCTCGAGTTATTTTGTACGATGTGAGGCATTGGACGGGGGGATTATTTAAGTCTCACGAGTCGTAGTTTTATTAAAAGAATCTATGACCTTTAACGTAACTGAACCTGAGCGCTTGAAGTAAAGCGCTCGAGTGCCGATGTAATGATATTAAAGACATAAATCTTTTGGGCCCGGAAGTCCGTTTATAAATATTTATCACCGTGAAATTTTGCAAGACGCACAGTCGAGCTGTTATTGGACCCTACAAATTATCATGTTTCATATGGGATTTAAAGGGACATTGAAGTAAGTTAAAAAGTTGAATAGTTACTAGAGCAGTGAGAATTATCATACCGAATGGAATGAAAGGAGCATTGTCAATAAGAAACAATAAGTCCAATAGATTTCTTTCAAACGAGCGTACCACGAGAATTTTTCACCTTCCACATAACTAAATGATTTTGTAATTTAAATGCAAAAATGATATATGTTACTGTTTAGAAATGCGAGAAGTATATTGTTTTAAGGGCAAATAGCAAGGCATAGGAAAATCCATCCGAAAGAATGATAAATTGAAAAGTCGTAAAAGCAAATTCTTTATGCATTCGTGACGAGCGCGACAATCGACAATTAACTATGCAAGTATTTTCAATTCTAATCAATGTAAATTCTAATAAATGGCTTTCAACGTCCTACTAC